CGTAGGTGTAGGCAGGCCAGGTGTGGTTTCCGCAGACGAATGTTCGCTGTCTGATTCGGTTGATAGCTGTTGAGGCTGTTGCCGCGGACGTACGATGATGGTGTCTAGTAATTCGTCGTCACTGTCACCGTCAACGCTGTATACGCGTGGTTCTCGTTGTTGTTCCTGTTCCTGCTCATCGTATTCCAGCGTTCGTACGAGCTGTTCAATAGGCACCTGCAATTCGGCTGCGAGGTCTATCTCCGTACGGTTGTAGAATTTTTCTTCATCAAATATAACATCCCGTGTTCGTACGGCCTTCTCTAGGCTGGGGACCCAGATAAGATAGATGTTTGATGATTCGTAGCCCACTAGGTAGCCTATGTGTGCACGGGGCGTAGTCTTCGGCACTTTGGGTAGGTGCTTTTTCAGCGTATAGGCACGGCAGCCGAATACCCGTAGGTGGGCAATACTTGGGTTAACCGGCGTGATTCCCAGGCCCTCCTGCATGGCAATCCAGGGGGTTTTCCATCCGATGGATTCCGTAGGCGTCCTGTTAAGTAGATAGGCAGCTGTATTATATAGGAATGGCCAGAGATTTCCAGGTAGGTTGCACTGCGCGCGCAGGCAACGGGCCTTGAGAATGAGGATTCCACCTGCACGTTCTGCGCCACCATTCTGCGTATAGTTTCCTGGCGTTGATTGTTCTAGGACGATTCCACGTTCACGTATCCAGACACGAAATGGATGATCTTCACGGCTGCCTAGGGTGCGTTCGCCATCAGTCTTCAGGAATCGAACAGTAACGCCGGGGAATTGAGTTTCCAGCTTAGCTACTTCTTCCATTAGGGCCTGGGGCAGTTCGCTTGGCGTGTTGATGTTCCTGGTCACGTGATACTTCGTGGATTCGCACCAGAGATGTAGACATTTGGTATTGTCGTTGAATCCGGGTTCTTCAAATATCATATCGAAATGTAGCCGTTCGAACGGCCGTGTAGCATGCCGCGTAGGTGAGACACGTGAAATTTGCTGTGTGATTTTGCTAACGGCGCATTGTTCGCATTCGTGTATTGCCGGGCCTAGCAATTGAACGTCTCCTTGTGCATCTGGGAGAACGGCTGCTGTTAACTTCTGTACGGCTTTTGGGCCTGCGTGGCCTAGCCGACGATGCCATAGTAGCCCTAGGGCTGTTACTGATGGCTGGAGTTCCACAGGTCGTGCGGAGTATGCCCCTCGTGCTGGTGGGCGTGCGATGCGTGGCTGTGTGATGTATGCAGAGATGTCATTTTCCATTTGGATGTTCTCTGGTTCGATGAATTGGATAACGTTTTGCCCAGCTTTCTCTTGGAGTTTCGCCCAGATAACTTCCCTGCCGTAGTCTAGGCTGTATAGGAAATTCTGTTCGTTGTTCCAGAACACCCCTTTGGCGTTTAGTTTTCGGAGGGAGACGATGTTCACGTTGAACCCTGGAATATAGGCGGAATCGGAAAGCATGGCGTAGTGTATGCCATTTGAGCTTTCTAGTGCGATTTTTGCTGTCCCGAATCCCGTGATAGATTCTACACCCTTTCCTGTGTAGCACGCAATGTCTGTTTGTTCAATATTGCCCGTAAACCAATGCGCAGCATTGAACACGTGCGTTGTAGCACCTGAATCCAGGATAACAGAATTCCGTAGCTGATACGGTGGGGCCGTTGAAAACAAAGCTGGTGGAGTAGAGGAACGATCTGGTGCTGAGAATGCAACTGCGAATGCAGAGATAGCCCCAGGAGTAGGGCCCTTAAATTCCTCCTGCATCTTTCGAATCCGCTCCTGGTTCTTTGGATGCTGTTGCTCAAGTGCTTTTTTCACTTTTCCCTGAATTCCTGTATCCATCTGCCAGCCCGTAGGACGTTTTTTGGCACAGATATACGGGCAGTTACGCCATAGATGGGTTTCTCCGCATAGGCACGGCGTCAGGGCCCTAGGGGAATTGGTTTTTGGTTTGATTTCCTGGCCCTGCAACGTAGTGGCATAGGCCGAGTGGGAGTCCTTGCCCTGGGACGCTAGTTTCTCGTGCCGCTGCATTCGAAACTTGCTGACTAGATCTGCTAGGCTAGGTGCTGATTCTTTGGCATCCGTTCGGCGTATCATCTCCTGGCGCCAGTAGCCTGCAAATTCTGGATGTTTTCCCATTAGGGACAGTAGAAAGTCAATTTGGGCACGGTTGCCGATGGCCTCAGGCAGCTGTAGTCTTGATGCATCACTGTACAACGTTTCCCAGTCCATTAGCCATTTTTCTATAGTCCGCTCAGCGGGGTAGTGCTTCTGCTTCTGCCACAGGTTGTAGATTTCGTTCCGGCGTGCTTCGTCTGATGGCGCGATGGATTTCTTGAGCTTAGCAAGTAGATCGCGTGCTGATGAGATGCCGTAGGTATACGTGGTGTATTTCGTATCTACAGTTTGTAGGATGAAAATACGTAGGTCCTGCAGTGATTCCTTCTGCTTGTCGAATAGGACCTTGTTGTCCTTGTATTCATCATATGTCATCTTCCAGGTCATTTGCGCGGCGAACGTACTGTCGTCAGCTGCTGGGGGCGCGGGCTTTGTAGGTTCTGGAAGCATTTCATCGGCATGTGCATCTGTTTTTGATGGATCGATGATGCCCCAGATTCCCTTTCGTTCGGCCTTTGCCTGGATAATTTGAATCCAAGATTCCCATACGGTTGGCGACGAGAGGATGACGTTTTCTGTCGGCATTGTGGAAGACGTGATGGAAGACGTGATGGGAGAATAACAAGGTTGGTTATGGAGGATTGTGGATCGAGAGTCTATCGAATGCTGATTGCGTTGATCGGTGATGCAGGCGATGATCCGTATGAGTTTTCCGGGCTCATAACACTCAGGTTGAAAATTGATGTGAACTCTGTCTTATTTCGGGGGCCCGAAGGCCAAACTATATACTACGTAGGAAGT